CTACCAGTTTTTTTGGATTTATCACCACATCTTCCTATTTTTAAAAATGTGCCCTCCCACCCCATTACTTGAAATAACCACCCACAGCAGATTGTCTATACCAGAGAAAACAATGAAATTAACTATAAACCAATTGCTACCAAATGCACAAATATAAGTAAACTAAAAAAATTTTTTTTACTTATTCTCGGTTATAATAATCTTATGTTTTGCTTATGACCGTAGTAGGTAAAGAAGTTTTCAGACAGAATTATGATTTTTAATTTGACAGTATCCCTTTAAATTAAAAAAACAGAGTGCATAGAGGTCATATGACTAAGATGGAGTCTTACAATTTCTGGGTTGCCAGTTATAGCAGCCAGGTGAGTTGTTGGCCATCTCCTACCAAATGAACTTAATGTAAATCCTTGTATTCTAGTACATAATTAATGTCCTGGTCAGAGTATCCAGTATTTGCCCTCCTAAGGAATTCACAATCTCTTCCTCACTTTTATAAATAAAGTTTTAGATCAAGGTGATTTATATATAATCTTCATGCCTGAACAGATTTGGGCACCTATTGGCACAGCTGTTAGATTCACACAGGACTAAATGTTAAATAAATGTTGGTGTTTATAATAGGAAATGGTAAACTTTGACTCCAGGGTATTTAATCAGACACTGAATAAACAAGTTCAATGTAAATGTTAGCAATTTTGATATATTCAGTGTTGTTGTAGCCATGTCGGTCCCAGGATATTAGAAAGACAAGGTGGGTGAGATATCTTTTATTGGGCCAACTTCTGTTGATGAAAGAGACTTTCAAGCTTACACAGAACTTGATCTGGGTAACATATTCAGAGCTTCACAGCTAAATACAAGGTGGAACAGATTGTCTAGCCTAAGTATCAATCACATATTTTAAGGGACCATTCAAGGTAAAGTGGCCCATTAACATCCTTTCAGTCATAAGGGTTAGTGGGTTATAGATTGTTGTAATAAGCCATAAATCCAGTGTCTCTGTTCAGTCCATCATTTTTAGTGTCTAGCAAAGTTATGAATTTAAGCTTCCAGGCTTGTCTTTTGAAAGTTTTGTGCGGGTTTCCTTTGAGGATGAGGAATGATAGGTCAAATATGGAGTCATCACTTTGTGAAAAGGTTTACCCACAGGTGATATGATGTTTTGTCTTTTATTATTTTCCTGTTCGAGAGCGTAGTGATTGTCTGGTTTCACCCACACAGTTGTTATTGGGACATTTAGTGCACTGGATGAGGTACACCACAAGTTGTGATAGCCATGTATAGGACACATGGATCTTGAAAGGTATGTTGTAAAGGGGTGCTGGACATTGTACCACTGGAGTTATGTCTACAAGTTTTGTATCTGTTGTTCTGGCAGGGTCTGGTGCCACTTTCAGTTGGTGTGTCTTGGGCTGTGAGGAGCTATGTTTTATTTTAATCCTATAAAAATCTTATAACCCTGTTTTAAAACTCTGATGTATTCTCAGCCTTAACTCTGGCATAATACAGATTGTAGTCTGGGATTTTCATCCTGTTTATACAATGATGCCATCATCACAGCTCCAGCAACAATGCTTGTTAGTTATCTTCAGCCATATAGGGCCAGCAGAGGGGGTTCAAAACATTGGGTTGGTAAAATCTATATATGAGCAACATGTATTTTGTTTTTATTTCTAGGCAACAGAGTTTTAAAAACAACCCAAACCTAGAAGCCATTGTAGGAGCAGAGCATTAGATTAGATTATAAACATTTCCAAGGTAAGGCAAGTTTAGAGCCCAAGTTATGTCCATATGTAACTTTAAGACAACAGTTAAAGTATTTTTCACTGTTTAAAGTTGTTGTTTTGTTGTTGCTTATTACAAGCTCCGGATCCCAAATCTATTTCCTTACAAAAATTTAGCTTCTCATCTATTAAATAAATGTATGTACTGGTCTCTTTAATCTCTATAGCATACTGTACATACGATGGCACACTGAGGCCCTACTCCTGCAATGGGGTCTGCTGTTCCTGCATTTGTAACCAGTGACTGGGACGCTTGGTCTAAATAAGATGTGTGTTCACACACAACTTGATCAATAGTCTGTTAGTAACCATGGTAGCCACCTTTCTCTCATATTTCCAGCAGCTTAGGCGAAGATGTGGTTTTCTTCCTGCTACCAGTTTGGCACTGATTTTTTTAAACAGTGTAGATGGTCCTCTAGCTATGCCTGTGTGTAACTGGTTTGACTGGTCCTCCTTCCTCCCAGCTCCCTGTGCAGTATGACATACTAGAGTGCATTGCTGCATGAATTTCTGCTGCCAGTCTGTGTGCATGTCCCCTTAACACTGTGGGGCCTCTGTATTGCCTTTTCACTTGTGTAGTCATTTATTCAGTTTATTCTGCTCTGGTGGCATTTGACACCCTCTTTGCATTGGACTAAGTTACTATATTGTACAAAGCAATGGAAATTCAGGACCTGAATCTCCTATTTAGGTGCTATGCCCAGACTTCCCCAGCACACAATGATACAAACAGTTAAACAGCATGGTAGCACATACATAGTTCATGGTGATGTGTGAAAAAAGTTGCAGTGTCAACAAAACACAACTGTGTTTGTTGTAACTGGGTCAGACGAGACTGTCACAACCTGGTTACAAGCATATGATTGTGTAGACAGACCTTTGGACCCTGACTTCCATTGCCCTGCCTTTTAAGTGGTATTGGTGCAAGGTATATGCTTTCTCACACAACAAAACTCTACCGGGTGATCTGTGCCTTGGTTAAACACAGGAACCTTGTGTACAGTTTTGGGATTAGTGTTAAGGCATTGCAATGACTAGACAAGAAAAAGACCAGGAAATAAGAAAGTGCCTGGACTCCCACTAACTGAAAAGTACATGCCTTGCATAATTAATACACATATATTTTAGAACTGTTTTAAAATCATGTTGATGTTTGAAGTTAGCACATCAGTGCACCAGTTGTGGAGTGGAAAGGGCATAGTCACACCTTTGCTGCTGGTATTATTTATTCTTTGCAAGGGTGGTTAACAGGCCAAGAGTACTCCTCCCAAATTTGCAATCGGAAGGCTCTTTGCATTGCAAAGGGCTAGTAGCATCACTCATCTTGAGTCAAGGATGCCACAGTACAACCCATAGATTCTGAAAATTAAGGCCTTGCTTGTTGTAAATTTTGTATTGCTCTGTTTTGATTGGAGCTGCCACTCATGAAGGGACTTGACTTGAAGCCACTGTACAGAAACACCACAAGGGAAGCCTGTGTACTATGAGAGTTACTCAACACTGTTAGAAAAACAGGAAGAATTTAAAGCTCCATTCACAAGTATCAGAGCTGTGAGACTGAAAGCTTCTTCCACTGTAAGAACCTTTTACCGTTTCACCTTACACAGATACAGTACCATGTCCTTCCTCCAGAAACTCCCTGGAAGCCGTAAGAATTTAAATTTTAAAAGTCTGGATGATTTACTAATGCAAGTGACATTACAAATAATTAAATATCAACATTTCTATGCACCCACATATAGTTAAAACTTAACCGCCAGGAACAGCCCAGCAGTGGAGGAGTCCTATATAGTCTCCCTGCTACTGCTCCACATGGAGAAACCGCACCATGCACACAGCAGAGGCTGGAGATGCTCTCAAAGAGCGAAATTCATGCTGGAGCACAGGACCAGTACAGGGACTATGCATTGTTTAAATCTAATTTATGGTCTCACAAAGGGACTTAAATGGTACATGGACCTTGTGCTGATGAATTTCACCCTCAATCCTTACTCTAGGTACTGAGGCCAGGGAAGAATTCTCTGAATGTGCACATGGTAGGGTCTTGAGATGTGCATCCCTGATATAGCAAGACTGCTCCTGTTCCAAATAAAACCCCAGCATGTGCCATTATGGTGATGTCACAGTTTCACCAGTCTATTGAGTATGAAGCTGGTACTCAGATAATACAACTGAGAAGTTTGTTTTTTTCCACTTGCCACCTATATCTTATTCTAAAGAAGCCATTTTTTTTCAGCTCTTAATAATGAAACTGAACTAAATGTCTCCATTTGTTGCTGTCTCAGTGAATGTCTACCAAAAAGAGAAGCAAATAACATAATTCACTGGCAGGAGGTATTAGCAGGACTGGAAAAAAAGTCAAAGTATTGAGTTTTTACTGAATACACTAGGCAACTTTAGCAAAGTATCAGTGATGAAATGCTTTCTTCTAGAGCAGTGTTTCTCAATGACCAAGTCCATGGACCGGCGCCGGTCCCTGAGATCCCCCTGACAGAGTTTAGGAAGGCAGCAAGTCCTGGTATCAAAAAGGTTGAGAAACACTGTTCAAGAGTGTCACCTCATTTTGCATGCATCTGAGGTTAATGAAATACCATGTGTGCAATCTGCTGAAAACTGCAAACGAGATTTAGTCCCTAAAAAAAACAACATGCAAAAGATGTGCCGTGTTTGAGGACATTAAAAAACTACAAAGAATTTCAGAAACATGTAAAAATTCATTTAATGGCTCCAAGTTTTATAGTTAATTCACTACAAAGGTTAAAATTGCTGCTAAATAATCCCTCTGTTTGAAAGTCCTGAAGGGTAACTTCATAAACTGTGCTAGTTTCCTTAAACCAGCAGAACCATTGGATGGACTGGCTAGTTGGCTACTTCAATAACTTCGAAAGAGACAAAGGCAAAAAACCCCACCAAAATGCAGGCAAGAACTACCTGAACTGTGCTATATCAGCACCTCTCCCCATTTACTGGACTAGGATTCCCTGTCAGCTCTTGTGCATCTCAGGGATCTCTGGCATATTTCCACTTCTGCTCCCACTCATCTCTGTCACCTGGCTCAGGGGGTGGAGCATCATACTGTTGGAATACGTTCATCTCTGTTTCACTCTGGAGTGAATATGTGCGGAAGAGATCGGATATTGGCTCTTCATTTAAGAGTTCGCTCCTGGTAGTCTTTAAAGAGGAAATATCTTTGTTGTTACCGGAGTGCAGACTTCTCTCCTGAAACACACAAACAATGCCTTCTAGTGAGCTGCACAATGCGCGAGATATTGGAATGAAAAGCCCCCCTGCTCCCTTGCATTTCCCTTGATAAGACTGAAGTGATCCAGCAATAATTTAGAAAAGAATAAAACTTCTGAATTGCCCTGACAGGGTCCTTGATCTAGCAGCCAAGAGGAGATGCACTAAAATTATGTCACCAACAAGACCATCTTCGCCATAACTCACATACTGGTTCACCCCCTGCCAACATACACAAAAAATGATGTATTTCACCGTAATAATAATATCGTCTTACACTTCCATTGTACTTTTCATCCAAAAGGATCCAAGGTGGCACCACAAACTATACATACATAGCGGTCACTTTACCAACCAATGAAGTGCAGCAACCTCTTGTGGGGGGAAAGCAGGAGTGAGGGCAGGTCTACACTTAAATCACTGTCCGCTGTAGCGCTTTCATGAAGATGCGCTACACCGACAGGATAATCCACCTCCGCGAGAGGCAAGAGCTATGTTGGCGGAAGATCTCCCACCAACATAGTGCTGTCTACACCGGCACTCAGGTCAGTATAACTACATCGCTCCAGGGTAGGGATATTAATTATTTACACCCCTGAGTAGTTATACTGAAGTAATTCTGTAGTATAGGCCAGGGGTTAGTTGTTTAACAGCACACATCAATAGTATACAACAGTTTAGGAAGGGAAGTGGAAAAAAAAATGCTGCATCTAATTGAAATTGCAGGATAAGTGAAGGGAGGCTGAATTTATCTAAGTAGGCAAGGATCATGGGATTAGTTCCTTGATTTTTCAGAAGTGTCATGGTATCTTTCCTGAATACGAGTGGTCTTCATTGCAAGACAATAACGCATTGTACTGTTGTCAGTTAGATAAGCCAAAATTTCTGAAGGCTTTCAGCAGGCAAAACTTCCATTGACTTCAGTGGGAGTTTTGCCCAAATTAAAGACTTCAGGATTTGGCCTACAGCGAACAGAAAATTTTCCAAAATTCATCTTTGGTTTGAATTTAAGCAAGGTGAATTTAATGTCTAAAGGATTTTTTTTCCTGGGAAAATCAGAGGGTATGGAAAATAGGGACTGACTTCTAATATCCAAAATACCTCCCGTCACCCTTAGCCACTGTGAATATTTTTTAAGGACTATGAAACCTGCGCTGATGTGATCTTTAAAGAATAATACTTACCTAATTATCTACCAGGGAAAGTAGATAAGTCATTCCTGTGAGAATTAATTGGTTAATACTCAGCACTTGAGTACTACTTTACAAATATTATTATTTGAAACCTGGCAAGAATCCAAGTGGAATCCCAGTTAGCCAGCTTCTTAGTCAGTTTCAACATCAGCAGTTGAGGGTGTAATGTGACAACACATGAAAATGTATAGTCCAGTTGATTTACCTTAATTCTGTAGATCAGAGTATAAAGATGAAAAGACTTTTCACACTGAGTCCCTCTCTCTGTCACCCAACATAGCCCACAGTCAAGGCATGATTTTTCCTCAACAATATATTCTCTAGTGATATGCTGCTGACAGAACTGATCACTAGGAACTTTTTCTGGTATTCATTCTAAATTTATCTTTGCTTAGTTTCATGCCATTACTCCTATATGACCTAAACAATTTGGGTCCAATTCTCCTCACTAACACCACTTTTATACTAGTGTAAATCCATTGACTTTCATGCTCGTGATTTACACTAGTGTGAGAGAAGAATCAGGCCTTTCCTCTCACTCCTTGGGGTTTAATAATGCTTAGCATATACATATAGCCTGTTACAGGGTGGTACTGTTTTCCTGAAACTGCTACACTTTGCTAGCACGTTTTGATCCTGCTGGGAATGGATTAAGTGGTTTCTGATGACTCAATACTGCAAATGCTTCATTATCTCAACTGCATATCAGAGAGCTAGCAGAGGTTTTTTGGAGAGAGAGAATTTAGGTTGTGGGCTAAGCAGTCCCTGAGGTAGGAATCCTAAGAGCAGCCAAGCTTGGGAAAAGGTTTTAACAGAACTTTATCTTATTGTTAATTTCTTTGTTAAAGCCAATCCCCAGGAAGGGGATAAGTTTGACTTTACACAGTGTGTAGAATTTGTTTTAAATCAAACTGCAAAAGGCACCTGGTCACAGCACTATACATCTTCAAAACTGCTCTACAAACATTAATTAATACAACAGGCTATAACATAGGGCAGTATTATTAGCCTCATTTTACAGGTGAGGAAACTGAGGGACAGACTGATTAAGTAACTTTCCCAAGATCACAGAGGGAGTCAATGTAAGAGATGGGATTAGAACCCAGGAGTCCCTGGGCTACCATATGCCCATACTCATTCCCCTAGCTCAAACTGCCTTTCTATGCTTACACCTTCAAATCCTTGTAGGATCACTAGGCAGCATCTAGATTTAAACTGAGTACCACACCTTCTGTTCTTCTGTGAGCCCTTCATCTAACTCCTGTTCAGGCTCTCCAATGCTGAGTTCCACAGTCTCTGGCCTTTGATTCTGTTCTAAAGCAGCCAGCACAGCATCATGCAGCGTTAGAAAGAACCGTGCTTTGGTGACGCAGTCATCAAAGAAATCATTCTTCTCAAAGATTGCTATTACAGAGACTGTAAAACAAAAAAAACCACCACCAGTGCAGACAGGGTCACAAGAAGGAGCACAGTTAAAGCATTTCACCGAGGTTTAAAGCTTATCTTTTTCTTACAAAAAGTGGCTAAATACAGCATTACCAATACAATACTCACGGTGGCAGCTGGCTATCAGGACCGAAATGCCAATATTCTGAAACATGTGGAACATCTGTAGAGAGAATCCTGTATTAATATCAGTGCCACTCTCATGCTCTATGCAGGAATGGCCCTGGCACCAGAAGGCAGGACATACAAGGGGGAAAAAGCTTTTGCTTATAACTCTGCTTCTCTGAAGATACCATTCTTCTAGAAGACTTAGTCCGGGGTCTTAGGTCAGCGCAAGACCAGCTGAACTCTCACAGTTCAAAGAATTCTGACTCCAGAGAGCCAGGTCCCATATTGGACATCATGTACCACAGTCTGCAGGATATAAATTCGGCCTTCCCAGTATTCAAATCAGTTGCTTTGGTTGTACAGCTCCCATATTAAGCCAATTGGAAATGATTCAACGCCCACACATGCGCGTGCACACACAAAATATGCCCCAGAGTAAACAATGGAAATAAGGATCTACATTTTCAAACACAAGCAGTAATTTTGAGTGCCTCTGTTTTTGGGTGCCCATCTTGAGACACTTTAAATTTTAAAAGGGACCTGATTTTACAGGGCAGGTGCTCAGCATACCCTGAAAATCAGGTCCCTTTATAATTAAGGTGCCTGAAGTTGGGCACCTCAAAATTGAGGCCCTTAAAATCATTAGTTGCTTTTGAAAATCCAGGTCAAGTGTAAGTAGAGAAACTCATTAAAAATCATCTTTAATATTTGAGGAGAATCCCATTGACATGGTATCTTCAGAGAAGCACAGCTACAGGTAACTTATTTTCTCTAAAGATACTACCTGCCAGGATTTTCACTTGAAGCTAAAGAGATGTCCCAAAGAAAAAGTAGGTAAGGCTGCAATGAACAACAACAACAACAAACCAATGCCAACAGAAAGAACAGACATTTTTATATCTACTCTTTCTGTCTAGGACTAAGATAACTCTTAAATGTCCAGACAAACCAAAAATGCTCACGTGTGCTAGAGACAAAGACTTCATGTAAGAACATGCTAACTTACAATAAGGGATATCTCAACATTTTAAATAAAACATCTCATGGAATGAGAGAGTTGAGCCTCTCCTACTTTGGAAACAAGAATCAGCACTTTGACTGTCCCAAACAGGATTTCCTCCTGGAAGCTGTAATGAAGTACAAAGCACTGAAGTTCCAAAACAACAGGCACCCAGCACTACCTAAATATGCCAAAGCTTCCAGTTTGCTGTGGGAAGGGAAAAAAACAAACAGCAGAAATGGGGAAAATTAAATGAGAGATTAAAAACGTGATTTGAGTTGAAATAATCTCAGATATTGTTAGTGACTCAGGTAAAGGCATTTTTGCGTGTGTTTTTTTAGATCTACAGTGTACCTTTAAACAATAGCCAGGGAATATATGTGGATCTTCGAAATTACACATTTGTGAAAATACAAAGATCGGTCTTGCTCCCATTAAAGTCAACAGGAACAGGTACAGGTGCTTATATAATAGGTAACTTTAGGGTAATGGGAAGCATCTGATTGTGGGCAAACTTCAGTTTCTGCTTTTACATGCATTGAAGTGACTTGCCTGCCTCAGTAAGTCTGAAGCTTGCAAATCCACAAACTGCACCATGCTGAAGTCTAAAATAATAGTGTGGACTGGATATGTTGAAAACTCCGTGGACTGCAACTGTACTGGTTCCTGGCACAATAGAGTTGTGGAAGTATCTACTCCAAGGTCTGAAGAATGCCGTGTCCTCTTCCCTTCATCCTTCTTCTTTCCAGTCTCAGGTCTTGCTGCCCTGAGCCTGATGGCTGTGGACTGAGCATGCTGTGTTTGCGACATTCCTGTTGTGAGAGTCCCAGAACTGTGCTTGCTTTCAAACTTTGACCAACGTATCAAATTCAGGGAAGACGATGAAGACTCATTATCCCTATGAAGTCGCTTCACCAGTTTCTCAGTATAGGGTATCTAGAATGGTAAAGTGGAGAGTAAAGACAGTTAGGAGAATTGTGTCTAGAAGGTAGAATTTCTCTTGTTGCAGTTATGACAGCATGGTAAATCATTTGATATCTTTCCTCTCTCATGGTAGAAATACCTTTGAACTTACACTAAATATAGCACTAAGTCACAACAGTATATAAATTAGTAGGAGATTGATGCAAGTTTTGGATGTAGTCAGCAGAGTACCTTCAACTACCCTGGAAGTGCTCTGTTAGCCTAGTCCTGCACGTCTTGAAGTTGTTTATTACCATTGGAATGTGGGCGACTAATTTTATATTCCATTTTTTAAAACAGAAACAGTTTTATGAGGTTTTATGCACCATATTCTTCCCCTATGAAAAGCAGTTCCTAAG